TGTTTCCCTTTGTCTTTTTTGTTTTGAGTTTTTTCTTTCTTCTGAAACCTCTTGGCCTAAATTAGAATTTAAGATAGTCTATTATCACTTAATAGATGTAGTTCTATGATGGTCAAGTTTCAGTGTTTTGGAGACAAGTGCTTTTTTTCCTGGCTTGGAAATTCTAGACAATGCTAAAGGAGCATGAACATGGCACATTACTAATCCTGCCCCCTCTGTGACAGGGTTATAACTGTGATCTCCCTGTCCTACCTGCCAAAGCTGGGTTGATACACATCACACTCAGTATGAGAAGACCCCTAGAAACCAGCTCTCACTCCCTCAGCCAAACCAGTGCAATCCCTCAGGCCTCGTTTATCTTTAGAGGACCCTCTGAAGATTTCCTTCTCTCTGCAAGTTCGACTCCATCAAGATAAGTAATATGGGGAGCCCTACTGCATCCTGGCTGCTGCCAGAATTTTTAATGCTGTATTGATTAAACTGCTATGAGTGGGATGAAATTATGTGGTATTAGTTGTGCTGGCAACTGGTTTACCTCTGGGATCCTCATGTTGCTAGTGCTGGTGGAGCTAAGCCAGAATTAGGAACACTGGGAAATTAAAAAAAATAAAAAGTAAAAAAATTAAGCTGTTATGTAGACATGACCTTGGTAGTTGAAACTTAATGTCACAAGATGAATAGACCTTTTGGAGTCTGGGACACCGCTGTGTGCAGTGACAGGCGCTGGTCTATCTTCCCAGCAGAAAGGAAGGAGCCCTGCCTAGGAAGCCCTGAGTCAGAGCTGCACCAAACACAGCTGAGAGTCAAGAAGAAAACCAAGCTGTTTCCTGCAGCTTTTGAAGAGACAGTGAAATAAAATGAGAGAATGAGGTCTATTCTGGGATGTGCAGGTAAGTAGCTTTGTCCTGTTTTTACGCCCCTTCCTAAAACATTCCCCCCATCTGCTCTGAGAGACAATGGCCCTTTCTTCACCCCTTCCACTGTGCAGTGAGACTCCCATTCCCAAGGGACCGAGGGAAAGTGAGTCAACCTGCTCCTGCAGGCTGCTTCCAGACCTGGCAAAAGGACTCTGGAGCAGCTCTCAGCTGAGAAAGAAAACTCAGTCCATGGAAAAAGAAGCAAACACACTAATCTTGCTGTGACTGTGATGACGAGACCACCTAAGAAGTGCTTAAACATTCCTGAGGTGCTTATAGAACTCAATGTAGTCCATAAATGATTGCCCATTCACTTACTCTTGAAATGGTTTTGTGTTCACTTCACATGCAGAGTTTATCACTGTTATCCAGATGAACCTGAAAAGAGTTGCTCTTGCCATGGTGGACTTGGTAGTGATACAAAAACACATGGCCATCCAGGATTGCTGGACAACATGGCCTTCCACCCTCCCTGAGGTATTATGGGTCCAGTCTGCTTCAGACACTGACCCCAGGGCTTAAACAGAAGCATTCTTTCTGAGAAGGGCTTCCCCAGGGCTCTCTGCAAAATGCAGGTGACAATTATCACTGTGTTCCAGGCTAATTAATCTCACTAATGATATGACTTACAATGTGACTACTTCTAGAGCTACAACACTTGACCTCTGTGAAGACAGAAGGAACATAGAAAGTTCATTAAAATTAAATTGAGCATGGATTAACAATGCAATTTGTAAATATTGAACAAAGTTTAAGCTTCAGTCACAATGAAGAGAGAAAGGCTTTGCACTTTTATAAGTAAAAAAGAAAATGGAGAAAATTGGATGATACCAAATACTTCTGAGATTATTACTTATTCTATTGCAACACGATTTCAAAATTTCAAGAAAAATGTACCAACTGTTCTTTACACATCCCAAAGAGAGAGAAAGTCCAACATTTTTAATTTCTGTGTTGAAAAAAACACCTCCAAAACATCTGGGACTAGATGGTTCCAGAATTTCATGTGATATTGCAAAACCTGTCACGTCCAAGTCATTGGCTGAAGCTGAGCCTGAATGGCTAATGAAATGACTAAAAATTATTGTCAGCTGAAAGGTCTTCAGTGGCCTGTGACAATTGCAGTCTGTGATGTAGAGCAGTGGCTGCCATTTTTAGTGTGCACTCTCCACTCAGGGTAGGACACCAAAAAAGCAAACAACCTCAAACAAACAAACAAACAAACAAACAGAAAAACCTCACACCATTAAAAATTCATTTTGGCTGTAGGAGGGATGGATTGGAGCAGATGAAAGATGGAGATGGAGGTCAGAGAATTAGAGTTAACATCTTCCATTCATAGAAGGTGCCACAGAGTTGTAACAAACAGCTCAAGAAATCAGAAGCAGAATATGCTTTGGCAGAATGGTTCACAAAGCATTGCGAGGAGTGTTTACCTTACAGTGGTTTAGGTCTGTCTAAATTGTTTCCCAGGTAAAGGCTGGCCCAGCCCATTCCTGCTACTTTGCTTATAATCTGAACTGATGACACTAAAGCTGAAAAGTTTTAGTGGGGGTGACTGCAGAATGTTTCCATCTATCAGCCCTGATGCTCAAGTAAGAAAAAGATATGCAGTTGTTTGACTTCCTGCTCATATTTTGGAGGTAAATACAAGAGCTTATCCTCAACATGTCTGAATATGTCTTATTTTCATGACACTATGCCTATGTGGGACTTAACAATGATGGAGCAGAATCATTACGGTGTCATTGATTCCTTACAGTGTAAGAGCTTTTGGAAGTCAGATTGCTTGGAGAGCTATACACTCAGGGCGATCATCTCTGCCACTTCCTGCATCAGAGCAGTGTTGTGAGATCTTATTTAAAAATTTCTTCCCCTTCAAACCTTCTGCAAACAAAACTCTGTTTTCCCCTCCTGTTTGATATGGTGCACAGGCTGACTCCACTACAGCCTTGTGCCACACACAACAAAAATACCCCTGAAGTGTGAAGCTGCAAATCCAGGGGGAATCCCCTTCCCTGGACTACTCATATCCTTCAGTACGAGTTTTGCTGAGCTCTTATTCAGCAGATGGTGCAGAGAGATAGCCTCCAAAACCACAGAGACAAATATTTGATTTGGATGAGTACATTAAAGATTACTCCCTTCTCCCCTCAAATTATCTGTGTTTTGCAGAAAGAACAAAGAGGATCATCCCCTCTCTAATAAAAAGTGATTTCCAGCTGTGGGGGCTGAGTTTTGAGAGTATGGTTCAAGCTGGTAGAGCCTGTGGAAGGCAAGGTGTCAGTCAACTGGCATTTGCTGGGACAGAGCAGAAATGAGAGTGGGTGCCATGAGTGGAGCAGGGTATCAACTCTGCCTTCCCTCCCTGGGCAGCCCTGGCCCTTGCTCGGGCTCTTTAAATGGTCACAGTGGATGCTAAGGAGAGTTGGCAATGCAGGGCTGATCATTTGGGGAAAAAGTCTCAGGGAGGCCCATCACCTACTCTGAGTACTCTGCATGTGCATACACATCTGTGTGCCTTCAGACTGGCCTGTCTTTAAGATTTATCTCAGTGCTGACAGCTCACAAATGTACTTGTCTGTTTTCCCTGTGGATCTTTGTACCTGTCTTTCTGGTAAATTATTGTCATTAAATATAACATATTGATAAAAGCAAATAATTCTAGGTTTTCCTCCTGCCTCTGCTTTCCTCTTTCTGCTGCCCCCTACTATTGTTCATGCTAAAACAAGACCCTTTCCAAAACCTCTTTTATTTCTGCTAGGCTTCAAACTTCTCAAAAGCACTTTCTGTCACTCTCTCCAGAAATTATATTACTTTCTTTATGATAATGTGCTCTTTTCAACAACCACATCTCTCCTATCTGCAACCCCTTGCTTTGTTTCCTTTCTGCAGTCTGTATGCAGTTAACCTCCTTCAAAACCTAGTCACCAACATTAGCTTGTTTAGCCCTCTTTTAAACTATGTTACATTTCTTCTTAGTACCTGTGAGCACAACAAATTCCAGTTTTTCACGCCTGCCTTCCTCCATGCAGGACTACACTCCTTATTTCCTTTCTTAATGCCTCCCTCTGTGTAGTTTGTAGCCCTGCAATATTGCTTCTTCATTTCTGTTTTTTCTCATGCTCCTGGTCAATGCAGAGGATGCATGTCCCATGTGCAAACTATAACCTGTAACCTTGCTTTGGTTTTTCTTTCTGAAGGTTTACAAAACTCATTGATACCAATTCACACTCTGTTTCAACATCATAAATAAAAAAATGAAAGAAAATGTTATATTAGTCTTTCATATAGACTGCTCCAAATTTGTATGCTATTACTGGTCTTTCAAACTTCCTTAGGATAGAAGCTACCTTTCTTTTACCATCTAGTGCTTCACAGAAGCTGCTAGGAAGAAATAATAGATGGCAAAAATGATGATATTTATCTTTCTATTTTACTAACAGTGCTCTCCTTCTACACGCAGCATTGAACGTAATAGGTATGCACTCTAATCGTACTTAATGTAAGGAATGCTTTGCTCCCAAATAAAGAACTCATGAACATTAAGCAGCAAGTGCAACTGCTAATAAACTAACCATGAATATTAATCCAGTATTCCCTTTGTAATCAGAAGGTTTCATCACTGCCCCATTTGCTCTACAATCATGACAAGTAGCAAAATGTACTCAAGGCAGAATTGAAACAGGGCTTTTTTTGCAGCCTATGCTTTATCATTACTTCAATGATTTTTCAGTGTTTCAGCAGATATAGCACAACTGGATTAACTGGGTAAGGAACCTTTCACTCCTAGGTCATCAGTTCACATCTGAGGCAGGTTGGTACTGACCAGAGGTCACTGTAGCATTATAATTTTAATAAAGAGCAAGCAAGAGAGGCCTTCAACAGGCACAAAACAATGCTTTAACTTTCTTAAGCTGCCCACAGCATACACAACTAGACCAACTTTGTTGCCTGCCAAAGTCAAACTGATAGAGAGTTAGACGGTCATCTAGTTGCCAGATGTCTGGCTGTGTAACTTTCTGGCACTAAGCATTATATAGAGACAGATCTATGGATTGGATCAATTAGCATTACACTTACCATCTGACAACTGTTTGGTCGCCTTCGCCCAGTTCCTAGAGGACAGGTGTTCGCATCACAGAAATCACCATCACAATTGGTACGACTAATTGATACGGTTGTTGGCAGTCACAGCAGAGAGGACAAGGGCTGAATTAGCACCGAGACCAAAGCACTGTTTCACCCCTAGAGAAGGTCTCTTCAGCTCAGGATGTCCAGGGCGTTTGGAGGATGCCTTTCTGCCACTGCATGTGTTGTGCTGAGCAGAATCTGTTCTGTTTTCAGATCCAGTAAAATTATCCAGCACTAAATTCAATGAGGTTTCCTGGGGTACAAGGGAAAGAAGGGAGAGGGAGGTGAGTGTTAGACATCTTAAAAGAAGATCTTCTCAATTTTCTTTTTCCGTTTCACCAGTATCTTTTGAGGTTTCTTTTGTCTGGAGAAAAAAAAAAAGATAATAAAAAAAAAAATCTTAACAGTCTTAACAGTATGAGTGTTGTACACAAGTTTGAGGGAAAATAAAAAAAAGTACACTTGCAGAAATACTCAAGCATTTACAGTAACTCTAGTGCTCCCTCTCATTTCTTCTGTTTTACACTCCAGACAGTCATGTAAAAGAGCTTCACGGATATATTCTCTTGTGAAGCTTGTGGGTATACTTGGTGATTAGACAAATGGGGTTCTGCTTTGGCAAATGTCCATTGCTTTCCCCATCTGATTTACAGAATATGCTATAAAATGCAAAGGAAGGCAATAAACCTCCCATCTGCAGCTGAGATTTCCACTTTGCCAAAGACCCTTTTGCTATCAGCACCTTTAACTATGACTTTCAAAGAAGAGAGAGGTATAATTTTTTCTCTGGAAGATGTTTTACTACATTCACTAGCAGCGTCATCCCATCCTTATGTGAATTGATTTTGAATGTTAATCTAAGAATGAAAAAGCCAATAATTGTGTAAAATATAAATAGATCTTTAGGTCATTATTTTATCTAAAAGGGAAGGCAAGAATTTCAGCTGTTTTCATATTCTTTTCGCACTCCAGAAAAATTCTACCTTTTTATGGTCTATATGTCAACTGTCCCTTATTGATTTTTAATACTTTCAGCAGATACAGCATTATTACAGCCAATAATGCAAATACTTGTAGTGAGAAATGCAATTAGAAGACACCAAACACTTTGCAAACAGGGTCATGGGGAAAAAAAAATTTCAGTACTGGGATTTTCTGATCTTGGCTTTGTATTCTTCAGAGGTTAGAAAAACCAAGAGGAATTCTACTCTCGTATTTCCAATATTAAAGGATTAACGAAGAGCAGACATGAGTCAAAGGTATTCGCCCCCAAAAAGCTCATACATAGCAAACAGTTGCTACAACAGAGAATGTTCATTGACTGTAGACTTAATTTGAAAGGTACCATTATCATTAAATTTGACAAGTAGCCTCTCCTTGGGGAATCCAAGCCTGAGCCATTCAGGTTCTTTCTTCAGCTCAGGTAAGTAATCCTAACCATGTGAAGAGCCCACATGTGTTCTCTTTCATCTAATGAGAACCAGCAAGATCAAAACAGCTGCTTTCAGGTTGATGGCTGACTACAGAAAACAATCAGGAAACAACAAACAAAACATAGACCCCTGCAAAAACAAAGAGAAATAATATATCCAGGTTGCTGCTAGCAAGATGACTCATTCCACTCCTTCCCATCAGGCATGCCAGGGCACTTCCACCTCCCACCACACAGCACCTATGGACCTGAACTGAGACATTTCCTCCTCTGCTCTATGGCTGTACAAGTGTTACTCATTGGAGGGGTCCCAGAAGGCTCACACAGGCACAAAAGTCAGATGCTGATCTTTCCTTCTCCTGCCTGACAGGGATCTTACCTTCTCGCACCAAGGGACAAGTTAATTCAGACCCAACAGTTCAATGTCTCCTCTTGAATAGATCCCTGTTGTAGGCATTTTTAATTCTGGCAGCAGAGTGTCCTCTTCGCCTTTCAAATTTAATTTGCTGTATTCCAAGAAAAAGCCCTCAATATTCCAGTTTTTCTTAATCCAGCGGATGAAACTAAAGGAGATTTTCTTAATCTGTAGCATGGGACTAATCACTAAGCATTACCCTAAAAAGTGCTCTGTAAATTTATTTCTGTCATTTTTTCTTGAAGTAAAAATCCAGATAAATTGTGAGTTGTGAATTTGCCTGTTTCCATATTTCTTATTGTATTTTTATTATAATGCACACTGTAGATTTATTTTCTTTTTCATCCAGATAAATTATTCAGATTACGAGAGAGGAATTGTAAAAACCAGTGATTACCATGTCCCCATAGCTAAGAAAGCTTGCTTTGCTTTCTATAAATTCAATACGAAGAATCTGTGCTGGCTGCCAGGTATTGCTCATCTGTAGATGCAAGACAAAATGAAATAGTTCAATTTCTGATTGCTGGTACTGGACCAGACACAGCAAGTGCCCTCCTTGGGTCCTGCTTGAAATCTGAATTCCAGAATGCTGATGGCCAAGCATGTCCCAGGCACCCAGCTCTGCCCACAGAGTGCTCACCATGAAGTTGTGCTGCTGCCTGAGCTCAGCTCTTCCTTTGTTTCGCTAATTTTCATCCCTCACCCCACATGCAGCAAGGTGCATCTGTCTTCTGAACTGCAAGAGACTGGGTGGCAAGAGGATTTCCACCAGCTCCTCCTTGCTCTGAAAGACTGAATGCTCCCCCTGTGGTGATTTCCTGGTTGACAACCCCAGAATTGCTAAACAAGCATGTAACCAGTCATCACAGAGCTAACAAAAATACATTTTTTTCCTGTGGACACTTATGAGGAGAAATTTCTTTCCCCTCCGGCAGAATTCTGATAAGTGAGAGCACCCTCTGCTGGGATCTCTCTCTTGTCCTTGTCCTCACAGAACAATGCCTTTTTCCTTTCTAACATATATTGTATTTACAGAAACACACTCCTTGTTGCTATTTCCTAAAGCAATCAATTATTTATCCCCAAACTTTTTTTCCTTATTCTCTATTGCATTTCATATGATGATAAGATACCTGTCGTCTGTGACAGGTTCTTACTGTGAGAAAAGAAAATGAAGTTGAATGAGGGACAGACTGGCCTCCAGAAAACAGAACTCTGCCTTTGAAGAGAACAAAAATACCTCACTCGTTTGCCATATCCTTTCTTCTCTAGTGACACAACTTTTCATCCAACATGTTCTTGGTTCCTGATGAATCTCAGCCTTTACGATGACCAAGGGACAAATCATGTACTCCTTATTCAAGTGACCACTTGCAACTCATATGAGAGGTTAATTCTCTACTTCTCTTGACATTTTAAACCCCTGTACTACCTTACTGCTGTTATTTGTTTTGACTGACTTCTCCATATGCCCCAGGTTTGCAAAACATTGTGGAAAATTTGTGCCTCTCCAGAGCCTCCTTCTTTCAAAAAAATCTCCTTCCCAGTGATATAAGGCATAGAAATACAATGTTTAACTAGGTCAACACTTTGCAAATTTATTCAAATTGCTGACAAAGAGAAAATGACAAATGACATGAGTAAGTCCTGACTAATTTCCAGTCAAATCAATGTTATTGAACATATCAGGAGAACAGCGTCATTTATACCCCATTTTTGTTCTTTACAATTATGGACAGCTGATAGAGGTATTGCATGTTTAGGTCGTCTACCCCCTCACAAACCATGTGAAGCTGACCACGTCAGAGGCTGCAGGGTCTGCTTTCCCCTGCCTGGTCCTGAGTCTGAAGCTGTCCACTTTGTGAAAAAAGGGTGTGTTCCATATTCAGGCCAGGAAGTATGGTATGTTTCATGAAATTCTCATCCAGAAACAATCAAGAATCTACCCCAAAGTAAATATACATTGTGTGAAGTCTTCTCCATGCTTTGGCTATATTCTGGATATGTGCTGCCAGCACTAAGAAATAACTGCAGGGAGTATGGGCAGCACACAGGCTCTGGGTTTGTAGGCAGAAATGCCTGACCTCTGGCAGATCTCTTGAGATATCCTGGTTCCCAGATCCCAACTGCTTTGCTTGTTCCAAGAGGAACAGGGGCGGGCAAGAGATAAATATACACTTAATGCCTTCCTGATGGAACTGTCTGTAGAAAATTCCTCGAGGGAGTTTCCTGTCCTTTTTTTGCTAGTTGTTGTGAGTAGGGAATGAATTGACCCATTGGTAGAGTTATTAGAAATTTTTTCATACAGAAAACTTACATGAATACAGTAAAGCTATTTACAGGGTGTCCTACCATCTTAAAATAATATTGCAAATAAAAGTTATTAAAATAACAATGAGCCAGAACGAGAATGAAATTGAACCAACAGCATTGTTTATGAACAGCAATGGCTCTCAGACAAGGCTGAAACTTTTCTCTCAAGGTGCAGCAGATACAGAGTATCAGCTTGCTTCCTTTTAATGTTTTTTCCAATACTAAGGGAAAAAAATTGTAAGCCTTCTCCTGACACATCTGAGTCCAGCATATGCCCCAATACTGGCCTGTGCAGTGATAGACTGTAGGAGAGCTATAACTATTGTTACTTTTGTAACAGGAATTCTGCCTTGCTCCCCCAGCACAGATGCAAACACATCAGATATTAAACCTGGGAGGATAATGGTGATGCCCTGCATTGCAGGCTTCCTTTGATGGCTCCAGGGGATATAGAGGTATTTGGCCGTTTCCTCTCCAGAGGCATCTGGTTTAGTCAGGTGGTTCACAGTGCACATGGTCACATTTATTGTTTGGTTTATTCTCCATTGTGCTTCTTCCCCCTCCCCAATGTTTTATCTGTTCTGGCCTTTCCCAAGGACTTTTACACAGAACTGAAATATTTGTTTATTTCTGGCATTTCCATCTGGTGTTAAGAGGATGAGAAGCAGGCTCATGTCACTGACACTCCCTGACTGCCAGAAGGACTTACAACATCTCACGGATCTGGGGTTTTATGTGTCTCCCCACCTCTAACGTGTTATCAAACACAAGTGCTATGAGATCCTGTGCAAGTCCTGGTAAATATTCCATTATAAAGGCACCATTTTTTCACCAAGGTGCAGCATTTTGCAAATCACATACAACCATTGTCACAAAACATTCTGCAGACCCTAGAATGTTATAAATGAAAAAATAAAGCAGAGCTAGATACTAAAAGATGTTTTAGGTCTCAGAAAAGCCCTACTTCTTAAATGGCTGAGCTGAACAGAGCCACAGATAGGCTATAATTTTAGGTTGTCTGAATGCCATTTTTTTTCACATCTATCTAATGGTCTTTCTGTCACACACTTGATAGAACCGCAAAATCACCACA